ATAAATCACCATAAATTTTGCATATAGTAAATGTGCAATTTCCATTCAACAGCCTTCCTTTAAAAGTAACTTGGTTGTTCAGTGAGAAATTTTTCCGCCAAAACTTTTAAGTGTCCATGCATAACAACCACATATATCACAAGGCTAAATTTGAAATACTTAATTTGTACTTTGACAGGGAACATTCTCCCAAAATTTCAGCCTTCCAGCTTTTCTGGTTCCCAAGTTAGCAATTTTCCCGCTAAAAGTTTCACATGTCCTTAACTGAGTTCTACGTGTATCTGGGGGCTGAATTTGAAATTTTTAGCCAGCACATAAACAATGAATATCCCTACAAAGTTTCAGTCCCTTAGCTTGTGCGGTTCCCGAAAACACTTCCTTGTCAAAAAACGCGTATTTTTTAAGCGTCCGTAAGTGGCACCCAGGCGTCCGCCGGGGATGAAATTAAAGCGGGAAGGTCACACTTGGCACAGGCACACACTTCCAAAGTTTCAGCCTTCTAGCTTTTCTGGTTATCGAGTTGAAAGTGGGTGACAAAAAGTGCGAGCACACAGACACACACACAAACAACCTCTTCCCAATATGCATTTTTGCAATTTGCATGTATGCAAAAACGTATAAAAATTATGTTTAATATACTACAAACTCCTAGCCGTAAAGCAGCAGAAAGTAACTCTCCTCAAAAAAATGCTTTGGTGACAAGCGCAGGACAAAAATTTTGCCTCAGTTTATGAAAGAAACTGAATGGGAGATAATTTGACAGCGTTCCAGTATTTATCTGAGGAAATTGACGTGCTGAAGCATGCAAGTGTTGTTAACGCTAATAATGGTGCTGATACAAATGATGGCATTTTTTTTATGATGGCGATGATGCTGATGGTGATGATTTTGAAAATTCTCGAATCACCAGACCGGACGTCAGTGAATCAGTGGAGCTGCGCAACTGATTGCAAGAATCGGAAACAGAAGCAAAGGAATTTGTTACAACGATGAGGAACAGAATCATCGCTGATAATACTGGGTGGCTGTTGCCCATACCCCCCGGTCGGCTATCATCCGATCTCGCTCCATGCAGGCGCCGCCATCCATGAACCTGCAAAAGCCAAACACCACATAATCCTGGTATGAAGCATTTCTTTGAATTTTTTGTTGCTCAGTGTTTCAGGAAAAGACACAGGCAAGACAGAAATTTGCTTTTTTTATGCTCTTTTGCGTAGATAGATAAAGAGGGAATAATGTGCAAGTGAATTTGACTTTTGTATGAAATCCAATTAAATTCAATTTCAAATTTCAGTCCGTATGATTTGAATTAAATCAGTTTTTACATGACTAAGCCATTTAATCCGAAATTACAAAACTTTGAAAGTCGATTTTTAAGATCATAGTCTTTGACTGTCCACTGAAAACATCAATTCACCTTTTAGATGTCTACTTAAAATTTAATTTTAATATCTGGCTGAAATTTACGCCGTTAATGTTATTTCGAGAATGAAATCGAAATTTTGAACTTTTTATCAATTCTTAAAGAATTTTTTTTGGGACTACCAGTAACCTTAGATACCAATTCGATCATAATTTGAACAGACATGGCATTACTGAATGTCACAATCTTTCCAATTTTTTACCAAAATCACCTTTTTCTTTCCGTAACTTCAAAAGGCAGCAAATTATGAATTTGAAATTTTGATGATTTACGGCTGCTCAAAAATCTGTGTTTTCAAATCAAGGTTAAAATGCATTAGCAAAGAACTTGTCAGACACCGCTCGCTTCGCTGCTTTAGAATTAATTTTCTTTAGAGTTCCATACTTTTCTCTACCAAAAATACGAAGACCGCCCGAGTATCTGTCTGGGTACGCCATTTTGTTGATTGTTACTGAGACGCTTATCCAAACGTAGTTATGCTAAATTCTTTTATCCTGAACTGCATTCCTCCATTTGGTAACACCGCCTGTTTGACGTACGTACGCTATCTTTTCTGGGGCCTCCCAGGTAGTCGTTTATTTCCTCGCGAATATCATTCACTAATACACCACTTCCACTAGCTGTGGATAAGACAAGCAACGTGCCCTCCCCATCGAATTTTACTTTCTTGCGTTGCCGCAATGATATAGGATTTTTACCATTCTGCTAGCATGAATCGTGAAATAGAAAACAGATTTTTGTCTTTCACAAACTGACGAGGATCGATTAAAAAGCGGTAAAACTCAAGTTTTGCAAAAAAATACATCTAGTTTGATGCTTCTGTGATATTTGCATACCTGGGATTTCAGGTCTGCTCCGAAATCTCCAGCAAATTTTTTAAATAACCCCTAAAAGAACATGATCTATGCTGCCCGATAATGGATTTCAGCAAAAATATCCTCATTCCCACAAAAAAACGTTTTTTTTCAATTAAGCCACTGATGAAGTAGTGAGCGAACAAATAATACTGGCTTTTTTTCTAGAAGTGTTTGTTCGACACTCACATTGTATGTGCAGCTCGTGTGCTGTAAGCTGTTGGAAGGAAGCCGGTTGGTGCCCTGCTCCAGGCAAGCAGCACCGTAG